CCTCAGGAACTTCACTCCACCCATCAACACTGAATATTTTTAATCCTTCTGCTGCTATCATTAATAAACAGATAGGAAAGTATACAATATTTACTTGTTTTAAACTTTTTTCTTTTCTTACATTTCTTCAGTTGCTACCTGGTTTCTATGCCTAGGCAAATGATGTCATACATCCCAGGAGTCTTCAGGAGAGGAGGAGAAGCTTCCCTAGCTAAGTACACCCTCCTGTCTGCATGGCTGAGCTAAGGGCACATGGATTCCAGGAAGTAAATGCTACATCAACAGTCACTAAATGGCGGTCCGCAAAGACAGATCCGCCACTGAGCAGGGCGGTCGTCACAGCAACATGACATCACATGTGCACCCTACCCCTTTCAGCTCACTGTCTCTCCGGCCTGTACACAAGCGTCCAACAAGGATCCCAGGAAGCTCCTGTCTGCCCTCAAGGTAGGGTGTAGTCCTTCAGGGGCACTCTGATAGGCACACTGAATGTTAAGGAGCACTCTGATGGACACAACATAGAATGTGTCCATCAGAGTGCCCCTTAATATAAATGTGCCCATCAGAGTGCCCCTTAACATAAAATGTGCCCATTAGCATACCCCTTATTTTATGTTAAGGGGGTACAAATGGGCACATACTGTGGAAAGGGGCACTGTGATGGGCACATGTGATGGGAAGGGGCACTCTGATAGGGAATATGATGTAAAGGGGAAATCTGATGGAGAAATATGATAGAAAGGGGTACTTTGAGTGTAAGAGGGCACTCTGACAAGAATACCTGATGTAAGGTGGCAACGTGATGGGGATACCTGATGTAAAGGGGCACTCTGATGGGGCAACTGATGTAAAGGAGCACTCTGATGGGCACACCCTGTTTGGACATCGGCCAGAAGAAAATTTTAGTGACTAGACCTCCTTGAATTTTAATTCAATACCCCTGTGCTACATGAAAAATCTGCCCTTTCCCAAGATGGCCACGGCCAAAAATGTTAGGGGGTGTTTTTCTCAGCAAAATAAAGCATAGAGACATGAATGGATAGGCACGTTTGCTTTGAATATTAAAAATGAAATAAATTGCATCTTTGATTTATAGTGCTCAGATGCAGTGACATTCCACTTTAAATATACTGTGTATACTCTTGATACTGTATAATGCCTATTAGCTGAAGAGATAGAAAAAACAAGCGTTCCTTTATACAGGCTCTCTTAAATCTTAGCCCCAAAGAAATCGCTAAATACAGTTAAATAATTATATGCATGCCACTTTAACTGCCAAAAGAATTGTAGTTTTACTCAGTCAGGCTTGTTAACCAGGAACCTAAGACAGGCACCACATCCAGGTCTTGAACCTTTCTTCAGTTAGGCAACACTACCTGGTCATTGCCCGATCCTGTGATTGGACAACAAAGAAGTAGCAGACCACTGGTGAGGTTATGCCTCTGCTCCCCCTTCCAATATGTTTACACAGGTATTTACAGGAGTAATTTAATAGGTTTGAAATGATAATAAAACTTTTGCCTGGAGTGCCATTTTAAGGTGACTATGCAGGAGTTCAGTTCAGTTTACCTTTCAGCTACAGCTCAGCTGGCCCATTATTAAATGGGTATTCTCATGAGAGAATAATGGAGGTTGCCATTATGGAACTCACTATTGGGAAAGCTAGTTCCCTGGCCATCATTCTGATACTTTGACTTCAGTGCTGTCTGATTCACTGACCCAGAACGAGTATACATACCAGTAGTTCTGACACTCATTTACAGCATAGGTACAAAAATATACTGGATACAAAATTATAAGCTGGTTTCATCACTTGCAGGAAACACTAAAGGATTAAGGATTATTATATTTGGACACGGACAGACCAAATCAGGACAGGGGCTTTTGGAGGAGACTGCAGGCTAGCCTCTTGCCTACTGACTATGGGCCCTGGCATTTGAGAGGGGGTCTATGCTTTGGGAGGTGTGTGCCTGGGGTACCTTTTGGAGTAGTTTTACTTTGGATTCAAGGCCATGTCTCCCCAAAACACACAGACTCTGAGAATTGGAGGACCCGGATACAGATTTGGGGCCTCTGTGCCCAAACCAGCATTGACTGCTTCAACCCCCCTCCTAGACTCAGAGCAGAGGTTAATATAATCAGCTCAAAACAACCTGATGCTGAGGTCGCTTGCTGTAATCTGTTTATTAAGGTGTTATGTGTTTACCGTTGTATCTTTATCCAATTGTTAATTGAGTCACCTATTGTTTCTGTCTGTTGGCCAGTCCTCCTGGAGGTTCCTACATGATAGGCTTAGTCTTGTGTTAACTTGACCACGTTACCTAATCAGTGTGGGATTTTTATCCCAATGTGTAATGTTTCTTTTTACTGTTCATGTGGGGACTACCCCATTTTTGAAGTGTATAAAAACCTAAATTTCTGTTCAAATAAAGAGTTGCAGTTGCACCTAAGCTAGTGTCGTCTAGTCCTTGGGGGCAATGCCCAGCTATACCTTGGTCCTGTGTCCCAGCAAAAACTTCCGTGCCACAGCAACCGTGAAAAAAACAAAATTCCTCTGCCTTAAATGTTAATCCACTGCACAAAAAATAACAGAACAGGGATCCCTGTTGACAAAGTCCGGATGTGACGAAACGCGTCCGGGGCACGTGACGTGGTGACGTAGTGACGCTCTTCCGGAAGTGCTGTGGCGGACATTTTTGTTCCTGGAACACGCGGTTGTGTTTGTCCTGGAATCCTCCATACAGGTGTATGGTTATTGGGGAACCTATCACTGATGTCCTATTCCTCCTCTGGAGTGGTATGGTGAGGTCACTCAAACACCGCTGAGGAGAGGCTCGATTGTGGAATCATATTTTCTTTGTGTGAAGCTGATTTCATCTTATTTTAATGTAAGTTGCTATAATAAAGTACTGTGATTATTTATTATATATACTGATCCCTGGTCTGTTTATGAGGTCTGTGGGAAGTGGCTGGAAAGGCTGAAGGAATTAAAAAGGTTGGAAACAATCTCATCTATGCTCATGTTACTACCTTGAGGGTAATTATGCACTTCTGTTATTTTTTGTGCAGTGGATTAACATTTAAGGCAGAGGAATTTTGTTTTTTTCACGGTTGCTGTGGCACGGAAGTTTTTTTTGCATGTAACACGTGTGGCACTTTTATGTTAATATTTGGATAAAACACTATGTTGAGTTTTTTTCTTTGAGGTATATGAAGATTTGTTTTTGGATTCTATCATAAAGGCGGTTTGGATAACACGAAGATTTGAGAAAGTACCAACAAAGATAAATTTTTGGGATTTTATTTGGACTTTGATTTTTTGACTTTTATTTTGGGACTTTATACACTTATATTTAGGTTTATTATAATCAAGTTTGCTTAAAGATTGATTCATTTATATATGTACTTCAGGGGAAGGACTATTAAAGTGACTTGGTGGGGTATTTTAATTAAAGAAGGATAGTGCTGGATGTTTAAATACTTCTCATAACTTGCACATATAGGTGGACAGTGTTTATTATTTAATTTTGCATTTGTTTATTTTGAGGTATGATTTTGATTTTCATGATTTGTATGTTTGTTAATCATTTGATATTTGAGAATTATGTTTACACTATCCTGGTATTATGTATGTAATCAAATTTAGCTAAGAATTGTTTCTTTCAGCTTTGCCAGGACCAGGTGCGGACTGACCATTTGGAAACTCGGGCACTGCCCGAGGGCCCGGGGTCAGTAGGGGGCCCCATGAGATGCCCCTGGTACCTTTTTCATAGGCTTTTTTGAGTTTGGGCAAGGACACAGGGACCCCATGATCCCCTATTGCCCGGGGGCCCCATGAGTTGTCAGTCCGCCCCTGGCCAGGACTATGACAGAAACATAGTGAAGTCAGACATAGACAGACAAAAAACATTTTTAAAAGGAGGTCTGCAATGCCCCGAAACTTCTTTCATGTCAGAGTCGTTTTAAGAATATCAATACATACAAATACAATATGTTCAAATCTGACCAATCTGAATTTTTGTGCGATATGGGGTAAAATTAAAGATTTGATAAATTGATGCATATACATGCAAACATTAATTCACCATAATAAAAGCACCTATTACGCCAAGCATTCACTCTCTAAGAGAATAATAGTTACTGCCTTCAAAAATCATCTGCACGCAATGTGTACACCAAGAACATTAGGTTTAAATCCCTTTACCGGATAACTGAACTGACTCTGGGTAGATTTAAAAAAATCAATACAGCTGTTTTAAGTTGACATAAGTAGATTTAAGTAACAGTAGTTAAGTAAGAACATTGAGACATAAAAAAATAAACTTATTGAACAGAATAGATTTTTTCCCTATATTTTACTATATATAGATAAGCATTAAGCAACTCAGGCGATTGCCTCAGGGCCCGGTGTTTCAATATAGTACCTATAGGCTGTAGGCCTTATTTTAGCAAACCCATTGTCACTATTTTCACCATCAATACTTCATGAAAGCTACCTACTGCACTATCCATTTGAAAATAGTCTTACTGCTACTCTCTTAAGTGTGTTCTGGTGCACAATATATTTCCTGGCCGCCTTTTAACCCCGCAGTAACAGCATGCTGTGGATAATATGGGTATGTTCCTAGTATTACAGAATGCTGAGCAGATTCAGGAATCGCACATTTTTCTCTCTCAGTACTAAAATGCTGTAGACGTCACCTATAACATGTAAATCCCTTATGTAATTTGCCTTTTCTGTCTAGGAGAGAGCTCAGAATAAATTCTTGGCATGTTCTGAGCAGTATACCAAAGTTTGCATGGTTCTTGCCTTGGAGCCACAGTGTGATGTCACCATTTCCCTCCCTCACAAGCTCTCATCAAGACAGTAAACTGATGCCACCTATTGGCTGCGGTGGAGAAAAACAAGACTTCAGAAATTGCACATGGAATTCTATGAATATTTCCTAGATACAGGCATTACAAAGTAACATGGTGCAGCTATCAATTAAAAAAAATACCTGTGGGTCTATTGGCCTGTGCATTGGTGGTGTTCTTGCTGGTTGTACCCCACTGATGCTAAAAGATTCTGATCGTGGAGGCAGGTTAGGGTCAGATATCCTGTTAGCAACTTTATGTGGCATTGCAGGAGAGCTCTGACGGTTGAGCCGAGAGCGTTCCTCTACCTGTAAACAGAGAAAGCATGCCAAATAAGCCAAGCAGTAAATAGCATTCCTGTCATGGCCATCCATTAAACAAAACCACATAATAAATATAAACATTAATGGGTAAAATCATAGAAAACTCTATGTATAATAGTATTTTAAACTAGCTACTTCTTCACCTTCCACCATATGATACTGGTTTGAAAAGAACACATCCATTTATTATTCACTTCAAGTGTTACTAAACCCACAACAGTAAAATCAGCCTGTAAATGCAGTAAATCATGCTTGTTATACTCACTGTGGAACCTAAGGGGTTAATCCTCTGCATTGTGTAAAAAGGCTGTTTGATCCTGTCTTCTCTGATCCTCCCCTTCTTCCACAGTCCTTAATCCATCTGCTGATCGTACAGAGCCCTAGGAGGCATTCTGCACATGCTCAGTTTGGTGTGTATTTCTAGGGTGCATGTGATCAGCACAGGACCAATCAGCATTGTCCTGACAGAGGGTCAGGGGTCATGCAGCCTCATAGGTCAGTCTGAGGAGAATGAAAACTACTGCTATAAGGTTTAACCAGTGCTTGGCCAGACACTGATAGAAGTCACAAGATTGCTATATAATGCTGATGAGAAAAGGTATTTAGTAGTTTATATTTTCTAAAATAATTGCATTTCCATGTTCTGTGTACTGTGGAAGACCGGATATAGTGAATGTAGGGTCCTGGGTTTAGTAACATTTTAAAGTGCCCATAATGCATTTACCAAGGGGAGAGAACATAGCTGTCTCCATTGTGTAGGCCATGGATTTAATCAGCACACTGTAGCACAGTGGACAGGAGGTAGTGCAGATAACATGCTGCACAGAAAAGCACAGATGCTTGACAATAATTGAAATCCTATTACTGTTTTAAAATTATATAGTAAAAAAAGAAAGCATTAAGTTACAGAATGTTTAGTTTCATTTTAAAGGACCAAGGAACCTAAAATACTGAGTGGCTTTTCTAAAATATTCCCACATGAGCAATTTTGTCACTGAGAAGTGTTGAGGCATTCTCGCTTAAAAGGTGCGCAATCAGAAACTGCTGCAATACCTATCCCCAATTTGTTGATGAAAGGATGTGGGAAATCTGAAACAGAGTTGAATGTTCTCATTCCTCTGCAGAAAGTATGTCAGTTGCTGAATGGCCAACAACAGAATATTTTTTATATGTACTTGCTCATTATAGCTAAGAAACCTGCATATAGCTATTGCAATCCGTGAAATTGTTTTAAGATACTGGATTATGTATTGCTAAACTAAAGCTGGCTAAATGCTTTGTAATATTATTGTATTATCATCCTTTGGATTTAACAAGGGCAATTTAGTGCAAGGACCTACCTACACAATCCATTCAAATTATGTCCAACCAGCTGGGCCCTAACACTATGGTATTGTTAGTAAACCAAATGAGCATTGTAAAACTGGATTGTGATGTTTGTGAACATCTAAAGAGTTTAAAACCAGGATTACTGAGCTTGATTTCTGAGCTGAGCATTTTGTCAGTAAGTCAAGTAAAAAGACAGCCAAGCCTTTCTTTTATCAGCCATTTACTCTAAATCAGCAACAACTTGCTACACAAGTATTCAATATTCTTGTAGGATACACTTCATATTTTTATGTTTAGTGTTCCTCTTAGCTTAAAGCAATTTAGAAAAACTTGCAAAAACTCACAGCCATGTTTAAGTACACTTGTGCCAACACCAACCCACTAGGGTCCCCTTCAAGGTCCCCACGCACCAATCAAAAACCAGTTAATATTTCTACATGAATTCTGCCAAATCTTAAAGGATGAAAGATCTGTTTTATATCTTCATTTATACAATGCTAGCAAGAGGGTGAAGTGAGTATGAGTATGAGTGTCATCATGTACACTAGGATTACTAAAAAGGACCTTAGGGTATTAAATTGATGCCACCCTTCAATAACCTTAGCTTTTTCTCAGGTACCTTCAGTTCTGATTCGCACCAGTTTTTTTTAAAATAAATATTCATACAGTATATTACATATTACACATACATACTTAGTAATTCTCTTTTATATAAGCCAGCTCATGTTTTATGTTGCTAGTCCATTCTACTACAGTAACCAGTCACAGGACTAAAAAGCCATATTTTGGATTGTCAATCTATAACAAAGAAATATTGCCGTATCTGCTCTAATGAAGAAAAATGCAAACTGTAAAGATATATGTGGTGTTAAGACAAGCATGGAAGTGGAACTATCCACTTATGTATGACAATAATTGCCAATCAAGTTAATTATGTTTGGATAGAGAAATTATCATACAGTGGGGCAAAAAAGTATTTAGTCAGCCACTAATTGTGCAAGTTCTCCCACTTAAAAAGATGAGAGAGGCCTGTAATTGGCATCATAGGTAGACCTCAACTATGAGAGACAAAATGAGAAAAAAAATCCAGACAATCACATTGGCTGATTTGGAAAGAATTTATTTGCAAATTATGGTGGAAAATACCGTATTTTCCGGCGTATAAGACGACTGGGCGTATAAGACGACCCCCTACTTTTCCTGCTAAAATGTAGTGTGTGGGCTATACTCGCCGTATAAGACTACCCCTCTTCCAATGCACACCAGTGGGAGGAATAGTGCCCCATCATCGGTGTCAGTGGGAGGAATAGTGCCCCATCATTGGTATTAGTGGCAGGAATAGTGCCCCATTATTGGCATTAGTGGCAGGAATAGTGCCCCATCATTAGTATCAGTGGGGGAAATAGGTGCCCCATCATTGGTATCAGTGGCAGGAATAGTGCCCCATCATTGGTATCAGTGGGAGGAATAGTGCCCCATCATTGGTATCAGTGGGAGGAATAGTGCCCCGTCATTAGTATCAGTGGGGGGAATAGTGCCCCATCATTGGTATCAGTGGGAGGAATAGTGCCCCGTCATTAGTATCAGTGGGGGGAATAGTGCCCCATCATTGGTGTCAGTGGGAGGAATAGTGTCCCAACATTGGTGTCAGTGGGGGGGGGAATAGTGCCCCATCGTTGGTGTCAGTGGGGGGGAGGAATAGTGCCCCATCATTGGTGTCAGTGGGAGGAATGGTGTCCCATCATTGGTGTCAGTGGGGGGGGTGGAATAGTGCCCCATCATTGGTGTCAGTGGGGGGGGGGAATAGTGCCCCATCGTTGGTGTCAGTGGGGGGGAGGAATAGTGCCCCATCATTGGTGTCAGTGGGAGGAATAGTGTTCCATCATTGGTATCAGTGACACCAATGATGGGGCACTATTCCTCCCACTGACACCGATTACACTTGCTGACCCTGTTCTAGTATGGTGCTGCTGCAGCCAGCATATGTGGTTGCAGCAGCACCTCTACACTGAACACTTACCTGCTGCTCCTGCACTCGATTTCTGTGGGGCCGCTTGGCTCCGCCCCCTCGCCGGTGATAGGCCGCCTGTGTGCCTTTCCTGAGCTACAGTTCTGGCGGCCAATCACCGGTGAGGAAGCGGAGCCTAGCAGCCGTGCGAACATCCAGTGGCCGAACTGAAGGAGCAGCCACGCTTCCTGGACCGGATCGTCGTGGGACCGGAGCCAGGTAAGAAACAGCCCCTGCCCACCCCTGTACTTAGTGTCTCTTCCGTTGGAAGGGGGTGGCGGCGGCGGCACCGCGCCGCCCCCCTAAAAAGTGTCAGTATGCCGTATTCCGGCGTATAAGATGACCCCCGACTTTAGAGAAGATTTTCAAGGGGTAAAAAGTCGTCTTATACGCCGGAAAATACGGTAAGTATTTAATCAATATCAAAAGTTCATCTCAATACTTTGTTATATATCCTTTGTTGGCAATGACAGAGGTCAAACGTTTCCTGTAAGTCTTCACAAGGTTGACACACACTGTTGCTGGTATGTTGGCCCATTCCTCCATGCAGATCTCCTCTAGAGCAGTGATGTTTTGGGGCTGTCGCTGGGCAACACGGACTTTCAACTCCCTTCAAAGGTTTTCTATGGGGTTGAGGTCTGGAGACTGGCTAGGCCACTCCAGGACCTTGAAATGCTTCTTACGAAGCCACTCCTTCGTTGCCCGGGCAGTATGTTTGGGATCATTGTCATACTGGAAGACCCAGCCACGTTTCATCAATGCCCTTGCTGATGGAAGGAGGTTTGCACTCAAAATCTCACGATACATGGCCCCATTCATTCTGTCCTGTACATGGATCAGTCGTCCTGGTCCCTTTGTGGAGAAACAGCCCCAAAGCATGATGTTGCCACCCCCATGCTTCACAGTAGGTATGGTGTTCTTTGGATGCAACTCTGCATTCTCTCTCCTCCAAACACGAGTTGTGTTTCTACCAAACAGTTCTATTTTGGTTTCATCTGACCATATGACATTCTCTCAATCCTCTTCTGAATCATCCAAATGCTCTCTAGCAAACTTCAGACGGGCCCGGACATGTACTGGCTTAAGCAGGGGGACATGTCTGGCACTGCAGGATCTGAGTCCCTGGCGGCGTAGTGTGTTACTGATGGTAGCCTTTGTTATGTTGGTCCCAGCTCTCTGCAGGTCATTCACTAGGTCCCCCCGTGTGGTCCTGGGATTTTTGCTCGCCGTTCTTGTGATCATTTTGACCCCACCCGTCGGGGTGGGATCTTGCGTGGAGCCCCAGATCGAGGGAGATTATCAGTGGTCTTGCAGGTCTTCCATTTTCTAATTATTGCTCCCACAGTTGATTTGTTCACACCAAGCTGCTTGCCTATTGCAGATTCAGTCTTCCCAGCCTGGTGCAAGTCTACAATTTTGTTTCTGGTGTCCTTCGACAGCTCTTTGGTCTTCACCATAGTGGAGTTTGGAGTGTGACTGTTTGAGGTTGTGGACAGGTGTCTTTTATACTGATAACAAGTTCAAACAGGTGCCATTGATACAGGTAATGAGTGCAGGACAGAGGAGCCTCTTAAAGAAGAAGGTACAGGTCTGTGAGAGCCAGAAATCTTGCTTGTTTGTAGGTGACCAAATACTTATTTTCCACCATAATTTGCAAATAAATTCTTTCCAAATCAGCCAATGTGATTGTCTGGATTTTTTTTCTCATTTTGTCTCTCATGGTTGAGGTCTACCTATGATGCCAATTACAGGCCTCTCCCATCTTTTTAAGTGGGAGAACTTGCACAATTGGTGGCTGACTAAATACTTTTTTGCCCCACTGTATGTCCACTGGCAGTATGTGATTTCAGATGATGCCCATTGGCCAAACTATTTTGAAGGGTTAACGATACCTGAAATGGATTTGCCCAGCTGACAGCTATTGTTGCCCCAAGATAAGGTTTGCATTAGGGGAACCCTGGGCACAATTTTCTGACCAGCATCTCATGTTTATGGTATGGAAACAGCAAAACACAAAAATATAAATTGGAGAGTTATAGAATAATTTAAAGCGGACTTGTCACTTCAAAGACAAGTGAAAGATGAAAGTGAAGAAAAAAAAGTATACCATCTGTGTTTTACATAAATATAAGAGGTAAAATGAAAAGCATTGCACGTTTGCTAGTGGTAATTCATTTTTCAATTAAGGAGGAATTCTTACATCTATGAGCACACAGTACACATTTTTACCACTGGGAGACATAGTGGCACAGAACTGCTAGCCATGCAATCTAATTCAATCTAAGAGCGCTTTTAATGTAGTGGTGCTCAATCATGCTTGTACAGAAATAGACAAGAAATGAACAAATGCTCTCCACATTAGAAAATAAAAATTAAAAGTGTATTAAACACAACAAAAAGAGTCTGACAAACAGATTATTAACTGTGATTCCAATACCAACCAAGCACCTTCAGAAGAATTAGAGTAGTGTTTCCCAAACCCCATGACCAGTAAAAGGACATTTTTTTTCACTTTGTAGATAAATCACACAGTGGCAGGAGAAATATTTCACTTTTATGTATCATTAGGATTCTCAGAGGACACATTTGGGAAACACTGTATTAGATTAGATCATAACAAAAAGTTGCACACAAATATAATGGCAGTAGGAGGACACTATACTGTAGCACAATTGAACGATTTGCGGGTTTTTTTTGTTTTTTTTTAAGCTAATTTATTTTCTTGGTCCATAATATAAATAAAAAATACTGGTAATTTAAAACAGCCAATAGAGCTACAATATATTTGCAGGATATTCCCTCTCTCTACCAAAGCACAATATAGAAAAAACATTCTAATATGTGCTCTTAGTGCTATAGTATCAGGCATTTAGGTCTTTTCTCCAACAACTATAAAACTCAAAAAAGAACTAACAGGAACAACTAATATCTAACTGAATGCTGAATTGCTGGGATGGTAGAGTCTGTTACAGTTACTCAGTGACAACAACTGTCTATGTGTATGGTCACCATGTCTACTGCTCCTGTTCTCTAAACCATACCAGGCTCATACAGGATTATTTCAAAGGCACCTTAAGTAGCAGTAGTAATGTGGAAAGTGCAATACCATAGGTATCAATCAGATTTCATGTGACTTTAGTTGGATACATTATAAAATGGTTGCAAATTGGTTACTATGGGTTGCTGAACTTTTTAGGCAATCTTTGCATTAATTAAGTTTGAGGTCTGCTAACCTTGCTTGGACACCTCTTGTTTTTTCTCTGAAAACATAATATTCTGCATAGTTGTCATATGCATGAGGATAACAACACTTTCTGTTAGTGCTGCCCTGGGCCCACGAAAATATATGTAGGTCAACAGCTAATCTGTTGACATTTGGGCTGATGATGCTTATATTTAAAATGCTATGTATGTGCTATTATTTCCCAAGATAACTGAATTTTTTTACAATGCTTTGCTAAGGTGATTATGGAGCGGAGCAGCAAGCAACTTTACAACTGCATAAGCTCTAAAATATAGCTCAAACACTGCCAAAATATACTTATGGAAAAATAGGTGTAGGATAGTTAGGAGATGAGAAGCCTGAAGCCGGAGATGCAGAAAACAATGCTTACAAACACAAAGTGAGGACAAGCCCATAAAGACACCTGATAGAAATTGGTAGATGACAGACGATAAAGTTAGAAGCCCAGCCAAGTTTGCCGATAGGCTTTCACAATATGAAGTGCCAAAGGGATTCTGCTCAGATATAAGCCACCACAGCCAGTTAGGGTTAATACATGCTTTTAACAGCAGGTATAAAATGTTAAATTGTCTTGTAGATGGAGGAGACTCCCAAGACATACACTATTCATGCATGACCTCTCCTGGAGTGAAGTACCATTTATACACAAAGATAGCTCGTAACTAACTCCCTTGTAGCTATTTCATTCTTCACAATAGCATGTTATACGGTTCATGCATGTACAATTTGGTAAAGAATTGAAACCTCTCATGACCTTTGTCAATCCTGTATCTCTGGCTGGACTACATCCTTGTGAGCGAGACCCTTTAAGGGATGTTACTGATTTTCTCCCTGGTTCATTTTCTTGTGAGGTCACTTGGAGTAAGAATCTCACTTCATCATCTAGAGATTGCACTTCACTCTGTGTTCCTTGTGACCAAAGCCCTGATTTGGAAATCTGAATTGAAGGCAAAAGCATGGGTAGAGCTAGGTTGTCCATTTTCACACGATCTGATGCTTGGAGATTCTGAGAATTTGGCCTAGTTGAGGGCTGCCAACTAGTAGATGCATCTTTGGTTACCAAGGGCACCTGCTGCTCGATAACAGAAGTGTGCTGCTGCTTAGCTGGAAGAACAGGCGAATTACTAAGAGAGCGCTGTTGAACCTGGGAGTGGGATCACACAAAATTAAACTATTACAACACAACATAAAATAACTCACAATGACAAATTAGATTATTTAATGGAGCATGCACATCACATTCCTTTAGGATGTTGACTGTTAACAACTGAATATATGTTAATTTCCTCGACTAAGCCATTGTTAGAGATGGATCCTATTAGCATGCAATGACTATTACTATACCCCTGTGGGTTTCTAATTCCTCAACACGTTGGCCCTAACCAAATAATAAACCATACTCTCTGAATATATGCGGTATAATTACAAATATCTATCCTGGTCACATGCAGCTCTAACAGACCAAACAGAAGTCTTTTATGTAGTAAATGCATTTTTTACTTTGGGAAAAAAAAATAAATCTTAAGGCAAGCTTGACACAAATGGCAATCAATCTTTTATTGGTACTTCACTATCCCTCCATCTACTTGATGGGGCAATATTTTCTTGCCCACTTCACATATTGTCACTACTGCTTCTTCTTGCTCAGTCAGAAAGTATGTTCACTAAGTAGCAGGAAGATGATTGATGACAAGGCTCCCAATGTCATGGTTCACAATCCATGTTTCTGAATCACCATTGTAATGTGGAGTAGGAATACCAATGGGAGAAGAAAAGTTTTCAGTGTCTACACTCCCCAAAAAAAGCTATGCTGGCAATTACCACACAATCAACTATATTATGGAGAACAGACCTGCAGTTTACAGTAGGGTGTGTTAGCTCTCCAATGTATGTAAATAAAATATTGAATAGCTATGACCATAGGGGCACGTCTGGGCAACTCTAAATTCTCATGTTTGGAACCGCACAAGGATTATATTTGTGGTTTCATTACACCTAGCCCTGTAAAGAGCCAGCATGGTGTGTAAAACATTAAGAGTATTTCCTACAACCTTGTTTGGAGAATGGATTTCAAGCTCTAGGCTACACTAACTGTTGCACTCCATCAATGCAGTGTTTATGAACTTGAACCAGTAAAGTATTTAGAAGTCAGGTATACAAAGTGTCTATAGTATATTTTTTGAAACTAGAATACAGCTCTGGTAGTGAATTTAACTGACAAGGAACTGATGGAACATAACGTGACATCTTGGGAAAATAATTTCTGCTTTATACATATACATAAAGTTGGGTTATCATGGACTACATTGTAGAGCGGTATTTTAATCTAAACTCAAACTGCCATTACAGATGCTCCTTAAGACTTACAGGCCAGACCATTGCTTAAAATCTCTCTGAAGCAACATTAAAATGCTTTGGCAGACTTCCTATGATGTTAAAGAACAGGGGTAGGGTATCCTGAATGATGGGTGTATAACAAGTAAATAATTACATACTAACCTGAAGCTGTAAAACTGACCTTGATGAATTGACCATTAAAACAAATAATGTGTTATGACCCAAAACAATCATAAAATGTTAAATGTTTCATAATAACTCCTAATACATCAAACAACACATCCTATGATTTTCATTAGTGAATTGCAACAGTATAAGATATCAATTTAAAGCAATTATTACAAATCATTGAATTAAAAACCTTGCATTGAGTCATCCAGTTAAGATAAAATGCTACAAATAGCACTGAGTACATGATAAAGTAAGCGTACCTCTTTTGCCCAAGCTGGTTTCTCAGTGGGATTCAGCCCCTCCTTATAGTGATACAGTGGTTTCTTGTCTGGTGGTCTCTGCTCTTGCTGCCTCTGTTGCTGCTGCTGTTGTTGCTGCTGCTGCAGAGAGACCAGATAGTCTCTCTCCTGCTGCAGTTGCCTTTGCAATCTTTCCGCTTGTCTTTGTTCTTCTAGCTGTTTGCGTTTGTATTCCTTTTGGGAAAGTGAAACAAATATTTGTAATGGAATTGGTAGGCAAAACAAGTATAAAGTGAATATTAAGGAAAGAAAGGCTATATGGTTTTAAGAACAAAATTACAAACACAGAGGATTTTCTATGATGGTAACAATTAATGGCATGGAATATTAAGATGGGTAATGTTTTAATCTAATTCTTCTAAACAGAACTATGCAGAATCAGTAGCCTGAAAAAAGGAAAAAGTTTCCAATTACACTTTTCACGCACCTTACCTGGGGCACTTCAGGCACCTGAAAGTATAGCTACAATGTGTACACCTGATCTGACTAAAAAAAATAATATGCATTTTGTTTAAATACTGTCTTATTCAAGACATGAACCTTACAGGATATCTTGCAACTTTTCTATTACTTGTACAGCTCATAATTGTTTGGTCCAATACCTATTACGTTTACCATTATTTATACCTGTTTAGTGCAATACTTTACAGAAACACAAAATACAAGCATGATAGTTCTCATTAATGAATGTCCTGGGTACCTAGGCAGACCTTTCCATACCAAGGACAAATCAGGCAGTAAAGATATGTACACTATGTAACGTTATACAACACTTTACTTCAGTGCTCCTGTAGAGAAGTTTGCAACACCACAGTGCAAAATGTTGTCTGAAGTGGGAATTGTTTAATGCATCTGTCAAATACTGCAACTCTGAGAAATTCAGCAATCTTTTGATTATTATATGGTTTTGGTAAATCTAAAGGAAAAAAATGTATAATGTGTAGCCAGCTTAAGAACTTAAGCCAGACATGCATCTGGGGTATCTGAATCAAAAGGTATTCCTACCTACAGGCAGGAGGGACATACTGTATGCTCAGTCAATATATACAGTATCTCACAGAAGTGAGTACAGCACTCACATTTTTGTAAATATTTTATTATATCATTTCATGTGACAACACTGAAGAAATGACACTTTGCTACAATGTAAAGTAGTGAGTGTACAGCTTGTATAACAGTGTAAATTTGCTGTCCCCTCAAAATAACTCAACACACAGCCATTAATGTCTAAACCGCTGGCAAAAGTGAGTACACCCCTAAGTGAAAATGTCCAAATTGGGCCCAAAGTGTCAATATTTTGTGTGGCCATTATTATTTTTCAGCACTGCCTTAACCCTCTTGGACATGGAGAACACCAGAGCTTCACAGGTTGCCACTGGAATCCTCTTCCTCTCCTCCATGACGACATCACGGAGCTGGTGGATGTTAGAGACCTTGCACTCCTCCACCTTCCGTTTGAGGATGCCCCACAGGTGCTCAATAGGGTTTAGGTCTGGAGACATGCTTGGCCAGTCCATCACCTTTACACTCAGCTTCTTTAGCAAGGCAGTGGTTGTCTTGGAGGTGTGTTTGGGGTCGTTATCATGTAGGAATACTGCCCTGTGGCCCAGTCTCCGCAGGGAGGGGATCATGCTCTACTTCAGTATGTCACAGTACATGTTGGCATTCATGGTTCCCTCAATGAACTGTAGCTCCCCAGTGCCGGCAGCACTCATACAGCCCCAGACCATGACAATCCCACCACCATGCTTGACTGTAGGCAAGACACACTTCTCACCTGGTTGCCGCCACACACGCTGGATACCATCTGATCCAAATAAGTTTATGTTGGTCTCATCAGACCACAGGACATGGTTCCAGTAATCCATGTCCTTAGTCTGCTTGTCTTCAGCAAACTGTTTGCGGGCTTTCTTGTGCATCATCTTTAGAAGAGGTTTCTTTCTGGGATGACAGCCATGCAGACCAATTTGATGCAGTGTGCGGCATATGGTCTAAGCACTGACAGGCTGACCCCCCACCCCTTCAACCTCTGCAGCAATGCTGGCAGCACTCATATGTCTATTTCCCAAAGGCAACCTCTGGATATGACGCTGAGCATGTGCACTCAACTTCTTTGGTCGACCATGGCGAGGCCTGTTCTGAATGGAACCTGTCCTGTTAAACCACTGTATGGTCTTGGCCATCGTGCTGCAGCTCAGTTTCAGGGTTTTGGCAAGCTTCTTATAGTCTAGGCCATCTTTATGTAGCGCAACAATTCTTTTTTTCAGATCCTCAGAGAGTTCTTTGCCATGAGGTGCCATGTTGAACATCCAGTGACCAGTATGAGAGAGTGAGAGCGATAACACCAAATTTAACACACCTGCTCCCCATTCACACCTGAGACCTTGTAACACTAACAAGTCACATGACACCGTGGAGGGAAAATGGCTAGTTGGGCCCATTTTGGACATTTTCACTTAGGGGTGTACTCACATTTGTTACCAGCGGTTTAGACATTAATGGCTGTGTGTTGAGTTATTTTGAGGGGGACGGCAAATTTACACTGTTATACAAGCTGTACACTCACTACTTTACATTGTAGCAAAGTGTCATTTCTTCAGTGTTGTCACATGAAAAGATATAAGAAAATATTTACAAAAATATGAGGGGTGTACTCACTTCTGTGAGATACTGTAGATCATATAAAATCAACTGTTCTGATAGAGAACCTTTCCTGACTTCCTGACTGAAGCATGGAGCTCACCACTATAGACTTGTCATTCTGCAGCAGCTACTTGCCTGACTGTGTTGAACCTCCATTTTCAATTCTATGAATCACAAACCCAGAAGAAGTATGCATATAAGGACTGAACTTGTTCTATGTAAGTGATCGAAGCCAGAGGGTTGGCATAACTGCCTGACAAATAGCATTTTTAGAAAAAGGTCAGCCATGGCCACCCTCATAATTCTCTAAAGAAAGATTTACATTAGTATGCAAATATAGTCTGGATACTTCTGTACCACTGGGTGGCAGACTGATAGTTTGCTTGGTTTGAACACGATTTTATACATTTGAGCACTAGTCACTTTTATAAAAAGTTATATATTTTGTAATTATATTTATTTAGTATTAACATGTTTAGTACCCTTATTGCTGAGCGCTTCATCCATTTTTAGATAATACCTCTGTACCACAGGCCTCAGGCTCCTAATTATTTATTTATTGTTATCATTGTTAAAAAAATAACCACTATTGTATAAGATTGGTCAATATTTTATATTAATTTTATAGATGTCCTCAATACATTTGTTTTTATACCAAAAGACAGCTATATGGTTTCACTGGCTTCCTACAATACCATATTACATAAATGGCATTCGGCAGATGGCCTGTTTCAGTGATGCATGTGATTGCTGCACACGGGGCTTACAGTGTGTACTTAACTGGGCCATAAATAATTTTACAGATTTTCAGGACAGGCAAATCAACGATTTTACTAGAGAATTAAGCGGATGATCTATCAGGACCATTATTATGAACACAACCAAAACATGGTATAGTATCATATAATTATTACATTGTCCCCATTGCCACACCACTCTGTCCTCTGGGCCCCCAGCAGGTCAGCCCTTACTGCCCCATACTGGTAGTGTGGATGAAGGTTATGAATGACCATTAATACTCTTTTGCTTACATGTAAGGCATTTTACTTGTACTCATCTGTTAAGCTCCTCTATAGAAACCACAGACTACTATACAGCAGATCTGTGCAGTGGAATGGATATGAATGTTTGTTATGTGTAAACATACAGTCGTTTTGTCTTTGTAAATCTGTATGAGTATTTTTTTACAGATAACAGATAAATGTCATATATTACTGCTTCCCAATTTGGTTCACTAACAGTGGATGTTAGTTGAGATTGAGCACAAGTGCATTAAATAAAGAAGATGTCACACCAACTTTGTGGCAGTTATAAATCTCTCTGCTTATTTTCGCTGGCCATTCACAGCACAGAGTTGCTGTGCCTATGATTCTACAAAAAACCTGAAAAAAAAACTCAGCTAGCAGTTTCCAAAGATAAGGCTGAAAAATACTGCCATATCATTCATACAATAGGATGTAAAACCACTGGGTTGGTGCTCCTCAATTGAATTGCTTCACTTACCATGTATTTAAATACTGAATGAAGGGTTTTGAAACAAATACAAATGAATTTGATATCATGGGTGCCAGTACATGCAAGAGTCATGCAACCTGTCATGAAGAAAATGGCATGATAGACAAGCACACAAGGTCTGTCAAGCAAAGACACTAGGTGGAGGGGACATGCTGGAAAACAGCACACAAATCTTTATTACCAGAAGCAGAGCTTGTTCCTGCAGTAATTGCTGCTGCAAGATCTCTAACTGTCTCTGCTCTTCCTCTAGCTGTCGCCTGATGTATTCCTGGTATGGGCAGTGTTGGAAAGCAGGAGAAGACTATATTAGATACCACAGAAATAGAAGGAAATTAAAAAATATTTAAGGAATGCACCTGAGCCTGGGTTCACATATGTGCGGGGCTGGTTTGCAGCACGATTTCAAGCCCCATCCAGTGTGATTTAATTTAGCAATTCAGGTGTGAAATCAGGTGTGAATTTTTAAAGTGTATGACACTGGAAATCGCATCTGAACCAGGCTGAAAATTGCGCCATACTCTTTTTGAAATCGCACTGCGGCTGGCCCACACATATGTGAACCGGCTCCGTAGAAAAGCCTTTTGCATCACATATAATGCGAATCGGATGCGGTTCAAAATGCATCCAATTCGCATCCAATTCGCATATATGTTAGTCAAGGCTTAAGACAAATAAAGTTTTATGTTATTCCTGGGGAAAATATAATTTCCAAGCCAAATGTGATCACTCCAGTGTGCCAAAACTTCTGTGTAAATACAAGTACTGTATATACAAAAAAACAGTGTCTTCTTGCTTTAGGCAATGATTAGCAAGCATTAATAAAGAACTTTCACAACTGTCATGAAACCTAGCAGTACAGATGTTGCTGAATCCTCCACAACCACTGTCAGTGCTATAGATGCATGGATTGATCAGATGTTCAGGTCATACACAAATACTCCTTTTTAGACTAATTATAAGGAAGGAGAAATCACATGTGATATGCTTAAAAGTGATCTAAGTCTAGATCACTTTTAAGCATTTGCAAAATAGCCAAAAGTGCAATGTGTGCAGAAAAAGGAAAGGGACTAGATTACCAGAAATGTATGGTCACAAGTGGCCTAGGCTGTCTAGCTGCACCTTGGAAGATTATGGTGAAAGAAGTCTGATGACATCAATGTATCCAAGCCTCAATGTCTTGGACAAATGAGGGGAAGAAGCTCAATGGTCACCAGGACAAGTATAGAGAGAATAAATCTTCCCATTGAGGGAGGCGGGGGGGGGTAGAGATTATTCTCACCAAGACAAAGTGGGGGGAAATCCAAAATTTTAGAGTTGTCACCCAAGCAAGAATTGAGGGTAATTTATCAAATGGGAACAAATATTTTGGTGTCCACTGTCTAAGATGGCAAGTCCCTTGACTTTGGGGAGATTTATAGTAATTTCCCATTGTTTCTGCAGGGCTGAAAGTGAGTGGAATGCCCTCCAGCAAGACAAACCCAGTACAAAATAACCTAACAGGGGTTTTCATCCTTACCTACTCTGCCCAAAATTAGAATAAAAAGTCTGAACTATACATACACTTTTGTTATTACAATAACCCCAAATTTCCTGAATGGCGAAATTATAAATTGCCCCAGCTCTGTAAAAAGTGAAAGCTATAACTTAATGGTCAACACACACAACACTTGCTGTTCACATGTCAATTACTTGCCAAAGATAGCTATGCATATAATACATAAAAGTGATAATTCATTTTGAGAGTCAACACAGTATAAAAGGAAATTCACCTTCTTTAGAATATCAAAAATTAAGTAAGCCTGACACAGGGTTTGGTCCATGAAAAAATTGAGGCAACCCTACAAGACAGAATTTGAAAATACCAGAAAGTCTGGCAGCCATGGATTGACAATTTCCTACCCCCTTGACTTTGACACAACCTTACTAGAACCTTGAGCCTCAGAGGCCATTTAATTTCACACTATGATCAGTGGAGGATGCTACTACACTCCAGGGAACCCACCCTACCCTATCCCACCCCACCCTCCATTTTCCTTTTTTCAAATCTCTTATACTCTAGAGAATTTCTTGCCCCACCTGAATCCCAAGCTATGGTTTGGAAGGGGCATTTGGTTCTCCCTTTTAGATCAATTGAGTCCCTCCTGTTAACCTGATTTGTTTGTTTGTTTGTTTGTTTCTTTCTTTCTTTAGACAACTTTTACATATATTACCTTATCTGTGTGCCTAATGTACCTCATTGCTCCCTGCAAGGAGCCTCATCTTATTAGCACAACTTTTATATGCTACTTAAATGTAGTTGCTCAACTGATAAATAACTGGATAAAACTATTTTAACAAGAAAAATGAGTGAACCTGAAACAAGAAAAACAAATGTCTGTTTTTTCATGAAGAGTTCCTCTATTCTGCTGTGTGTTAGCTAAGTGGTCAGTCAGCAACATTCAGTGGAAGGGGTTGACTAAACCCCCCCCCCCCACACACACGCACACACTGCCATTGCAAAGCTTGCAGCTATGGCAGCTAAGGTTGTAATAAGCTATATCCTGTTTTTAACATAGACTGGAGTGCTTCTTTCAATAAATGAGGAAACAGCCTATTTTAAAACAACACAACCTGAAATACCTCATGCTCACTTCTACTCAAAGAACATGTACTTTTATACCAATTACGCTCCCATAATTACACTTATCTTTCTTTTGTGAGACTGAAACCATAAAAGCATTCAGTGCTACTCCTGCTCAAATACATCAAATAAAGATTACATGAAGAAAGGTCAGACCTTCTCATGCTCTGCTCTTCTCCGTTCTTCCTCTCTTCTCATCTGCTCCTCATACCGCCGCCGCTGGTCCCTTTCCTGCTGTTTCCTCATCTCCTTTTCTCTTCTTTGTTGCTGAAAAAAAAATGTTAAGAAAAAGTTGGGTCACAGTTATGCCTAATTAATAACCCTGTCCCGATACATATATGGCATAGTATTGTAATTTATACATCATTTCATGTCTCATTCATTCTATTAGATAATACTTTACTTTTACATTTGTTTTTTTTTTAAAGGTTTTCAAAAGGTACAGAAAATACGAAAAGCACAGAAAGTACAGTTATTGGCTACAGAGCTGTAACTATTTGCATATGGTACCAAGTCATGGTGGTTATGTAGGTACACTGTAGGTGCATGTACTGCAGCTATGTGCTTTGGGTCATTGTCCTGCTGTAAGACACATGGCCTGTAAACTTCTTGACAATGTTGTGCGCAGTGGACACAGGAACAATAGGATCTCTGGAGATGGACTTGTAACCTTGAGATTGTCCATACTTTTCTGAAATTTTTGTTCTCAAATCCTCAGACAGTTCTTCACTGTGCTTTCTCTTCTCCGTGTGCCACACAGAGACACACAACAGAAAATTTGCGTCAATTTTTCACCATTTTGGCTGGTTGCCAGAGTGATTTATATATCAGCACCTGTTAGTTGATACAGGTGAGTATAATTACAAATTACAGGAGCATCACAAACTTGGAATGCAATTATTTTTTACAATTTTGAGAAGGTGTCAATAATTTTGTCCAGTCGATTTTTGGGGTTTTTGCGTGGAATGTGTCAGATTTGGCTTTTCGTTTCTCCACTGTTTTGTGTCATCCCAATACAAACAAAATAAATAAATATGAGAATGCCTAAACATTAGTAATTGCAACAAATTTCTGGGCGAAGTGGGGCATTATCTGACAGAAATGCAGGGGTGCCAATATTTTTTGGCCATGACTGTACACATAAATTCCCTGTGTCATGTAAACACCTAGAAAAGCAATCCAGTAAATATTATAAGGCTGTGCTATGAGTATCAGTGTAGGCTTCAACTCCAATTAATCCTATTCTAGGACAAAACTGTTGCCTACATACAGTACATTCATCACTTGGAACTCTAGGACATTACTATTCAATAATAGCACTTCTAAGGCAAGCTTGGGGTAACTTCTATACCACACCCAAATGAGAGGTATCACTACATGTCCTTATCATATCCTATAACATAAATATGAACTGTAAAACAAGTGTTTAAGGAGTAAAATCTATCCCTGCACAGTCTAACATCCAGCACATGTATACAAAACAGCTTTTAACACCCCCCCCCCTTCCCCCCGAAAGCCGATATTTTTGCAAATTTTCTAACACCACACTTTAAAGAACCATAAAGAAAAAATGTTCTTAGGTAAAACTGGCAAATGTAAAACACGAGGTGTATAAAACCAAACACTTTAGGTTTTGCTTAAGGGCCAGTGCACACCACAAACACGTGATCCAGATGTGTTTGGTTTACAGTTCACACCACACTATGTTCCAGTGAATTTTTCATGCATTTTGCTGTGTTCCAGTATGGTTCTGTGCAGAAAACATGCAGCATGCTCCACTTTTTTCTGCACCTGAAACTGGCTGCACTGGTGTGGAATAGGGTCATTGGAATACATGGAAAACATTGTGCATGCATTTTTGATACAGAACAAAAAGCACTGGACTGCATTTGGTGTGAATCAGCCCTTAAATACTGTCCATATTTATAAAATAAAAATAATTATCCTGACAACCTATTGTAAAGGGGATATGCTCCTTCCCTTTGTGGTTATCTGAATACATATCTATAAGCTAGCCTGAGCTCACATTAATGTTAATTATATCAATCTTAGTGCTGCATCTCTGCCCCATTGTTGGCTCTGTTATCTACATGGTACTTCCCTACCCACAAACCAACTATGTACCAATTTAATATATATTATTACTATTATAGTTAGTACACAAACCATGACTAAGCCTCTCTGGAGCTAGTAAATCCATCCATATATCCAATTAATGTATTTGTTACATAGTTAAAGGCATATATTTTACAAGATTTTCTGATGCAATAATTCCCATTTGGCTACACAGCAAACATATAGCAAAATTTACTTTATTGGAAGTATTTAAAATGTACATGACAGACAAAACAAAGAGATAATGCTTCAATACACATGTGAACAATCTAGGCCATTCCTCAGCTTGAAGTCATTGAGCTCAGGCCACATTATGGATGAACAGTGAGAAATTTCCAATGCATCAGTTCAAGCCAAAAAATTACTTACAATTTCAGACAGTAAATACCCAATCAGGGCACATTTTACAATGCTATATCTTTATTTATCTAATGGGTTTACCAATTAAGATTACTATTGGAATTCTAAACAGACCCAGAAACGTGCTGATTTCTGTCTCTGGACAACAAATATAATTTCTGGAGCTCTAGCTTCCAGATCTGAATATCTAGCCACATTCCACTGACACTGATAGCATCACAATATTCTCTCAAAGGAGCTGTGGGCCTAGAAAAAAGTTACACGTGAAAAAAGTACGAGGAATGATCTATGGACGTGGGCGGGGCCAACTTGCCCTACACTCTTCTGTGAATGCGCACACTAATGCCCAGGAACCAGGCGGTTATGTGAAATCAACATTAGGGCAGTATTCCGTATTTAGAAGTGAGCCATCCACCTTTCACTGTACACATTAAACTGGAGACTCTTTAATTTGAGGCACTCTTTCCCTTCGCAGTGTACACCTTGTCTTCCTGAATGCAGCATACTGAGGGGGACACCACTGAGCCTGTGCCCTGCTCCACCAGCCGAACTTTGCCTGCCAACTTTGCTCCCAGTGACAGTGTGTAGGGGTCCTGCCAAGCACTAAGTGTGGACCTCTGTGTGTACACAAGTTAACTCCTCTGACTCTCCTGTACCTACAGCTAGGTCCATGGGGTCCTCATGCCAGTTTGGTCCTGAATACTTAAGGGGGACCGACCTCTAAGGAGAAAGTCAAAGCACTGACCCCTTCATCACGCATGCCTGGGTACCACTTTCCCAATGGTGGGATGCTATTACATTTTCACCAGTCTTGGTTACTCATAGCAACTGCATGTAATACATGACTTCCTGACAACTCCTCTGCATGGGTAACCTTTTGTGGTGACTCTTTAGCTCTTCCTCTTCATCCGCATGTGTGTGTTACAGGCCCTGTTCTTTGGATACGCCATGTACCTCTATGCACCCCTTTGTAGCATCTTCAGACCAGGTATAAGAACGTTAATGGCAACTTTACTGAAACGTTCAACAACACAATTCATAAAGCCAAATTTGCAAGAGCATAATTGCAGTCTTAACTAGCAATGTAGGCTTTCCAGGTTCATACCATTCCCTAAATAAAAATCCTCCAGTCCAAGTCCATAATTGGCAGTGTCTTGGCTCCAAGTGGAATCCCATACAGGTGATCCTGAAGCAGGGGGTCACATGCTCCAGAGGGTCTAACATAGCACAGAAGACCTTCTCTTCCAATCCGATCAGGGTGCTCTCTCTCTCTCACTGGCTGACCTCTGCCTCTATTTATGGGTCTATACTAAAGAGGACAGGGTCCAAAAATACCCAGGAAAGACAAGAAGCACTGTTAACCCCTACCTTTCTTGGGCAGCCTGGCCTCACTGCATATGCAATACAGTATAGTTGATTCACCAGTTTGGAAACATTTGCAGGCACCCTGTAAGCACCTGCTTACATGCTCACCTCAACCAAATTATGGAAATGTAAAAATGAACATGTGCTATTTGCCAAACAAGACTATTTTATCATGATTTAAAATGGGTGGGACATTTTTGTCCAGTCCAGGAAAGAAAGAGACAGATATTTATAAAGATCATTAAAATATTTACCTTTGCAAAGAGTAGTTATTCAAACATAGAATGAGTTTCTTGAAAATCATTCAGCACTCTGAACATTTGTGTTTCTGGTACTAATGGCCTGCAGTGAATGACTTCCACCATATTGGAAGAACACTTTGATATTTTTTTGGCATTTTTAATAAAAGAAAAAAAAATATTTTCAAGCAAGTTCATCTTCAATCCTGTTATCAAAGGCCTTGGCCAGCTTCAGATAAAGATCATATCACATCTTATGATCCAAGTCTCAAAAAGTCTAAGAGATAATAAAGCACTGCTCATCGACTCAGACAATGAAAATATATTATAAACTGCTTTGCTACAATATACCCTCAGAAATCAGTCCCCAAAAAAATGTGACCAACAAAGTGGCAAGACAGGGGGTGCTGATGGAACCCACCCAGTACTAAAGGTCTGAGTACAGCTGCACCCCAGCTAATCTACAGAATTACCATTTGCTGGATGTTTAATTTAATTTTTTGCTTAAAAAAAAAAAAACCCAATAGCAAACCTGTAACAAATAATACAAAATTCCCAATGCATGCATTCATGTTGAACAGTTATCTGAAGGAGTCCAGGGGTACCATGCAACTTCTATGCCTATTTCTTCAAAAATATTAATTTAAAATAAAAGACTGCTTGATTCTTCACTTCTGAACATTGTTTTACATGTAAAACATGACTAAAGTGATTTTGCTTGCTACATGACACCATGCTCTTGCCTTACTTGTGACTGCAATCTTTATAATTATGAAGCATAGGAGTTTTAACAACACTGTCTGAGCCAAGCAGAGTGTGCACTTTGGTGAAATGGCCACAGGGTAGCAGTGGTGTGCAGAAGAATGAAAGGTGAGTTCATGTGGCTAGGTTAACAGTAATTGTCTTCTAAAGATAATAAACTCCTTTCCTAAATGACTTTCTAATTAGAGTAATAATTATTATAAATCTGAACACTACCTTGAAGACTACTGAAATTCCACAATTGCTACCTTTGTTAATATCGGGGCTGAAGAAACAACCACAAATATACATCTAGAGATGGTTTGTACTTTTACATATGCAGTTCTGTAACTGAGCACTATAGTAAATCACAGGATAAGTGAGCGCTAGAGTAAAATTATAAATGAGTTAAAGGAAGAAAACAGCAGCTGAACACCAAAATGGCAC